GCGCCACATTTTCTTGGGCAACACGCTCGACCAGACGGGTTCGGCAATAGTAGCACCGACTGAGCCCATGCGAGAGTACGTGAAAGAAATCCGTTAGACGCGTAAACGAGCGTTCAGCAGACAACTTATATAACACACAACACGCGCGCATATACAGGGTGATTCTACCGACCATTCTGTCGGCTGTTTTTTTTTTATTTTTTTTTTATCGAAATTCTAGTTTATCGAACTCTATATATCATCAACTAAACTTAACTTGGACTTGTTTTTTACGACATTTGCAGCACTGAAGTATAATACGAAAGATATTACGCTCTACGGGTAAACATAAATATTCCGAAAAATATTTTAATGCATGTGTTTACTTTAACGATAAGACTGTAGTGGCGATAGCTTGCTCGATCGATCACTCTGTATAAATACACATTTCAATAAAGATTGGAAAGTCACCCATTAGGGTCACCCTATATAAATAGGGTGATTCTTTCAACAGTAAACGCACTCATTAATAGTAGAGATAAATATCAAGGTTTTTGGAAAATATTCATTTACACAATTTAAAGTCATTATAAAACAACATGTTTGTATAGAAAAAAATAATATTTACTAATTTTGATCTTTATTATTTTTAAAGTATTTACATTTTAGAATGACAACATACATAATATAATTAACAGCACTTGGTTAGAACCGAATCTGGAATCAGACAATTTTTTCGAGAATTTATGTTTACAACACCCAAATTTCAAATAAGTAGGAGTAGATAATAAGTTATAATGTATAAGTATTCCCCGCAAAATGTAGGTCCAATTATTCAATATACCATCTATCTTAACTGTAAATATAGATATACTTATAATTTGTTATGCATTAAATAATCGATCAAAATTCTCAACAAATATAAAGTATGAAATTTAAAATGCATGTTAAAATTGTCCATTAAAATAAGTAAAAGTTAAAAAATATTTATGATAAAAACGAATAAATTGTATAATGTTTTTTTCAGAAATTTTGTTTTGTACAGCGATATAAAAATATTTGCAAAAACTTTAATACTTTTCGAGTTCATAAGTGTTTACCTCGGTGTTCACTGTTAAACGAAACACCCAATATGTTGTAGTTTTTGGGTTGGAAAATCAATGTTTATTAAATCAGGTTTTACGGAAACTATAAGTCGACCAATCACCCCTCTCCACACTTCGATGGATTAAACTTCAAAATCAAAAATTAGTGGTTTCAACTTTTAAGTGAAGACTTATAAAAATATACAATTGTAAAGCTTTATTTTATACAAGTAGTCGTTGTGGTAGGGTTTAGGGTTGTCTGTATCAATATTACGTACAATGAATACTACGCCTATTGTGTTTATTACAATATTATATATATTAGAATAATAATTATCATACCTATTTAGTTAAGTGGTCCCTTATTAAACCTTGTAATATAGAGCTTTTTATAATATTATTTTTACTGTATTTTCACTAATATTGCACTCATATTTTATCAGATCAAAACCGATTTGAACTTTGAAGGCATTATTATTGGTTCAATGTCCACAACAAAATTGATTTTTTTTTTAATAGAATGTTATTCTTTTGAAATTATTCTTACAAAATAATGTTAAAGGTAAAAAATGACGACCAAATACTTTTACTAAGTCAACTTAACTCATACTCACAATAAAAAAATTAGCAAATCACAAAAAGTATACAATTTCCATGATTATTGTCTATCGTCAATGTGAGTGAAGCCCCACGATTGAAAAACACGCAGTATACACTGTTCTTATAAATCGTTCACATATGAATAGTTGTGAGATGAGTTAAGATATTATATTCATATCTTTCACTCGTAGATTCATGAATAAAAAATAAGTATGAGTGTATATTACATATGTAGGACATTTTAAAATAATTAATAATATAAAATAACTAAAAAATAACTAATAAAATATTAATATCACAGATTTGGGATTATTATATACAATAATTCCAAAAGTATAACATCAGATTTACAATTAGGCACTCGAACAGATCATTCATTTTTCAATACAACTTTCTAAGTTGCTTTTAAAAGCGTACTTACAGAACCGATCAAATTAAACAAAGAATTTTCATTCTCAGTAACATAATATATCCTTAAGAAAATATTAACAATTTTTTGGTCGAACAGTCACTATTCGGACGCAGTATATATTGATACACACTCATATTCCTACTTCAAATATATTACGTTACAGGTATGTTAATCGCTAAACAAATAAAGCCAAATCATCTCAGTGGTCTACCATACTTCTGTCTATCAATAGTTTTCAATATAATATAATATAATATGTACTTTCATTACATTACATTATCTCATTCCGAAACTTATCCGTTCACAAGATGTTCGGCCATAATTTTGTCAACATTCTTAACGAGCATCGTAAATTATTATCATTACATTAGTTGGATTTAATCCAAGAAAACGAAGATTCTCGTTTAGTTATATTATAAACGTTTGGAATATTACTACTATTACCTATGCGGACGTGTTTTGTGCTTCGTGTAGGTATATAAGGAAAAAACTCACTTTTATTTAAACCCAATAAAACTGACCCTAGATGACCCACGCATCGCAGTCAGTGACCACACATCATTTGCTCCGAGCGTCTAAATCTCCAGAATCAAAATTCTCAATATTGAGTTAAGTTCTTTGCCTATTTATAATATACTGCCTTCTGCAGTAGGAACAATATTTTTAACCTTTGGGCGTATGATCAATGTAAATATTACAATTTTATTTTATTTATAGTTCACATTAAAATAATGAATGGAAACAAAATATTTTAATTTACGGAATATAGTCTTTTAATCAGTCTGAAATTAATATTTGAAACAAAACCCGGGAATCGCCTATCTATTAAGTTTCGAGTGGACTTTGTCATTGGGTAATTCACTGTTAAATCTATTTCTAAAGATTTGTTTTTATAACAATATTAAATTTATAAAATAATCTTATTATAAATAATTATAATGTAATATCAAATATAATCGTCAAGAAATTTATAAAATATAAATCAACACGGACACATATACCGTGTAATGGAATAAATCGATTAAAGTTAGTCCACAATTTTTATATTTTGAAAATGTCATTGGTTATATAGAATGATATGGAGAAAAGTTTCTAGTCTTTACTGTTAATATTTTTTGAATTACAATAAAACAACTATAATCGTTACTCATATTGCTTATTTATCCGATTTCTTCAAAATTTGGACTTAAATGCCTGTGAAAAAATAATTGAGACTTCGCATTTTCAAAATTTTTAATTACTACAAGGAAAACTTATGAGGGATGTTATAATCTACTTTCAGGTTTTTTGACGTAGAAATCAAAACGTTATCATAAACATAGATCGATAAAAAAATCAAACAAAGTCGTATATATCTATGAATAGCACAAAAAGAGTCATGATATTTTGAAAATCATATTGAGTAAACATAAGTTTTTTGGAATTTGTCATTATAATATCTACAATTATTTATTTTTTAATTACCTACAACGAAAATAGGCACTAAAATTAATTTTGCCGAAAACTGGGGTTAATATTTCATGATTTTTTTAGTTTTTCTCGTTTTTTTGAAAAGGGTAAGTAATATGCATTTTTTTTACTTTAACCACCTATAACATCAACCGTGTCCAATTTTTTTTACCAGAAACCACACTCAAACATAAATATTTGCTTCTAAACAAGACAACATACACAAAAATAAAACCATATAATTGTAGAATTTACACATTTATCGCTCTGTTCATACATATTTTAAAATAGAAAGTGTTATCCTTAAATAAATAGTACCTATAGTAGTTATCATTTATTTCATTGGTATTATTATTATTATTATTATTGATCACCACTATTTTTTAAAACAAATATTATTGTTATTTATTTATTTGTTATCTTTTTGTAGTGTTTTATATTATTTTAACGACCGCACAGCTGTGTATTTAAAATAAAATACACTATTCATAGTATTCAAGTCCATTATAACGTCTAAATTAACAAGTTAATGTATGTACAAATGTCTACTTCCATAAGAGTGATTAGAAAAATAATTGAATGTTAAATTTACATCATAAGTAAATGTATTTCATTTTATAATATTATAATATTTTTACCACAATTTCAATGCAATTTTATTTTAAACGTACCTATTACGTTATCATCAGATTGGTTGTACGTTCGTACGTTTTTTTTATAGTTCACATATGCAATTTGAAAACAAGTAAATCAAATGAAAAATGTACATAACATACTAAGTATATAATAATATGAAAAAATGAGGACGATTTTTGAACAGAAATTGAGCAACGAAAACTTGCGAAACGAATTTACACATCAATTGCTCATCGATTGACACACATTCTCACACACACTTTTGAATACTAACTCATTTGTGGTTTGAATTTTTCTGTTTCTTTTTTTCCAAATAATACTAATCAAACAGCTATTGATCGAATTTCATAAAATTAAATTTCCGTAGCAAATCTTACACTATTGTTGTAGGCTGATACAAAGGATATCCCTTCGGAATTCTGCACCAAGTATATGTAAATAAATATGAAACACAGAAGAAAGTACCTACATAGAAGATAGAACACGACGTTATACATGGAAAATAATTGTTTTTTTCCCGCCAAAACATGTCGCACTCGGAGTGTATCGTTTTCACGAATCAAGAATTTTTTTTAATAACACATATTATAATATTATATAGGTACCCAGGTAGTAAACTTGTCTCGTGCGCCCAACCCACTCGGCGGTTACAACTACAACTGACCGCATAAACGATGATAGTAATAACTATTATATAGTCCCTCGAGTAGCGGTCTCGTAATAATAATCTTATAATATTATACGTCCTAATAATAGAGGTAGGTACCTGCAGTAAGTTGAAAAATGTACATAGTATACCTATATTATATTATATTGTGCACCTATCGTCGGCTACTTACCAAATATAATTTGTTGCATTTCATTTGCGCGCGCAAACGTCAGACGGCGCGAATCCGATTTTCAGACGGACAGCGGTCGGCGCTGACGATTTTTCAACAGGTCGGTGTACCCGACACTGGTGTCGTACGAGTTTTTACCGAGTAAGACAACGCGATCGCCGGGACTTCTGGTCGGCGATTGGTATGTGTTATGCGGTTACACGACCGCCGTCGGCGACGACGGATTGACCGGCTGCCTATTACGCGAGCGAGCACAGTCGTTATAATATGATAATATTATTATACCGCGGCACCGGTAGTCGGTATCCGGTAATTATGTCGCGTATTACGACGGGCGATTTAGTAATCTAATATTGGTGTTGAAAGCGAACAGATCGACGGATTGAAGCTGCGAGAAAATCGATGAAAAAATTCGATCGAGGAGAAATAATAGGTTGCAGGCGACGAAACGAAAGCGAAAAACAACGACTATTACAACTGTCGCAATGCCATAGGTTTGTGACGATATTTACGATAATATTCGAAATATTATATTATAATTTATTATTACTTTAGACACCTGTGGATATCGGTGTTATGATATAGCGATACGGTTATCGCGGACGGACACGTGCCGCGGAGAATCGTCGAATGGATGGCGTACGCGGGTTTCTTGCTGCTGTAAAGTGTAAGTCGCAGTAGGTAATGTGCTGGCGACGTGAAATTCGGACGCGGCGGCGACGATACAGCTAATAATATTATAGCGATAATGTAGATCGGAGCGAACGGCGAATGTCGGAGGAGTTTTCATTGAACCTTTAGCCGACCGACTGAATCCGGTGTTGACGACGAAATTTCGAACTGCGGTCACACGTCGCGGTGGCAATGCATGCCAATGCATTTTGACCTTCGTCAAATGGCCGGGAGAGAGGGACCGCTGCAGATATTATTAGGTAGGTACTTACCTATAAAGTAGGTACAATATTGGCTCTTTTGATTCCACCACGCAGGTACGCCGAGCACACCGGTGCACACCATATTATTATTATGTTGTCATTGTATTATTATAATTATTTATAAACAAAATAATGTTGTTTTTCACGTGCCGAATCGATGATATAATAATACTATTATGGGGATCGGTCGTCGTCGTCGATGGTCCGATCGTCAAACGCCCGCGACTGCGGAACGCGCGCGCACGTGTACCTACCTGTATACAGCTGGGGAATAATAATAGTATATATTTTTCAGTGGGGCGGATTAAAAAAAAAAAAAAAATAATAATATACAATAATAATAATATTGTCCGCGTCTGCTATCGCGCGTATTATTACCTACATGTGTGTTTGTTTAATATTATTGCGCTGGACGCAGTGGCAGATAAGAATAATAATGAAATGACAATTTATTTCGTTTTGCCGTACAACAGGTATTTTTAGTATCCGATACAACAGGAGTATAATGACAATAATGCTACGGGGATAGGCCCACCGACGTCAGTGGTCGGGCCGAAACGCGTGCCACTGTTTTATAATAATATACCTATATACCTACTGACATACTTGTTGAAAACACGCGTATACTGTTAAAATGTTTTCTAGATAAGTGTTCGAAAAATTTTAATTACTCGTCAGAACCGAATTGTTGTCAAGGTGAGATTCTTTTATTTGTTTTTGTTTATACGCATTTTTTAAAAATTATTTAGTGGATACAGTCGACAGATAAATCCTCATTATATTATAATATTATATAGATTACACCATACAATGGTCGGTATTTTTTTATTATATTTTATGTTTTTAAATTAGACACCGACTATTCAATTACTAAGCATTCAAAATACTTGACAACTGACAAGACACACACGTGCCTACTAACAATTTGGCATAATTTCTTATCACATTACCATAATATGTGCACATACGTTACAGGAATCGATAGATAGAGTTTTCAACTTTTTCGGAGCTGCTCAGCTTGATCTGGAGTGTGTGATATAATGTTATAATTTATAATATATGAGCGAACGGTAGGCGTACCGTTCGTTAAGTGAGAAACGTATATTAATATATTATTACATATGCGCATGGATTGTATTAACTATTTACGAATATACGAAAATATATATATTCCACTAGACCGATGGACCAATGTCGTGGGTGTGTGTTATGCAAAACATTCGAGTCGTGGTTAGTCTTATGTCAACGCAAAGTTATCACTCAGACTTATAACTTATAAACTATAGTATACTATAGTTAACTATGATTGTGTAACTTCAAACATTAAAAAAAAAATGTACACTTAACTCGGTTAAAAAAGTTGATTTGGTAGTGCCTGATTTATTGATATTTGAATTTCTGCCCGATTCAATCACATATCATAATAGTGATTGTGTAATTTTAACATTTTTTGAATAACAACTAACCATTTTATAAAATATAAAATAATTTTATATTTTAAGACTATATGCAGCCTGATTACACAATAAATATATGGTAGTTATAGCAGTGACTATCAACATGGTTTAAAGCTATAGATATATTATATTTCAAATCAAACAGGAAGAATCAAGCAATTACAACAATAGTTAAGTTATTATTAAGTTGATTTAAAAAAAAACTAACTACTTATAGTTATGATATTATTATTGTGTAGGTTTAGGAACGTGCCATATTAACGTATAATCCGTAAACATATAATAATAATAGTAATATAATATTGCAACTTGCGTAATAACATAATATATAATAAAAAATATCGGTACGGTTGATTTTTTATCGAAAAATGAAATGCAAATCCCGACGACTAGCCACGTTACAAAACGCGTCAGCAGGTATCGCAATTAATAATAATAATCACGTACCTACGTGAAATAGCCAATAGGTATATAACATATATATGTACATATATATATATAGGTTATAGGTATAACCACGCGTGGTTATATAGGTATTAGGTACATCTGCGCCTCGGCTCCGATGACGACTGACGATTTACGGCCATACATAAGCTGCAATATTATATATTATGTCATGATTTACTCATAATGTTATCGATACAATATTAAAAAAAAACTGATCAACGAAGACGTCGTGGGACCTCCGTGCATTGATTACAGCGATGACTGATGACCGGTCGTCGTCGACATAAACATACACGCGATACACATAATATTATTACATTAGTGCATGGTTTTAACTTTTTGACGTTTCGCAAAATCAAACAATTTAAATTTGAAACTAAATTGCGTACTTTTATCACACTTACTGACTCATTCACTTATTCTGTGATATAAGCGATGTTATAATATAAATAACTGCAGTTGCAGTATTTAAATGTTTGTGCAACTTAATTAATGCAAACATTTAAACTAATAGTAAAAATATATCGTGTACTGTGTAGTCTAGGTTTTAAGATTTAGTAGAGTATTTCGTTTTGATTTCGAAAAATCAAATAATTTAAATTTAAATTTGAAACTAAGTTGCGTACTTCTATTAGTTCTATCACATAGTCGAGTCAACACTATATTATATTCTGTGATATAACTGATATAAGAGGTATTATAAATTACTGCAGTATTTACATATTTATGCAACTTAATTAATACAAACATTTAAACTAATAGTAAAAATGTATCGTGTACTGTGTAGTCTAGGTCTTAAGGTTTCGTAAAATATTTCGTTTTAATGAATAATCAAATAATTTAAATTTAAATACTAACTTTTGCGTATTTTTATCATATAATATACTTACTCAAGTTGACATTGCCACATTCTGTGATATTACGTATACAAGTAACTGCACTATTTACATGATTATGTAACTTGATCAGCGCAAACATTTTAATAAATAGTCAAAATAGATTGTGCAGACTTATCATCTAGTCGTGTTCATATACCTACTAATCAAACTACATAATAGTCTGTATAAGTTTATCTCATTGTTTTTTATCATAATATTACAAAATAGATGAAACATTAAATTATGATCCATCAACTATGGCGATTTTATGGAGTTAGTTGAATTAATTATTATTTTTTCATTAGAATGAGTTTATAGAATACAATGAGCAAATTTGAGAAAATACATACAAATATAGGTGTAGTGAAATAATGGTTTGTAGGAAGACTCTCGACTGAGTAACCTTGACATGGAACTTGAAATAATATACCCTGGAATATTTATTACTACACAGCAAAATCACATTCTTATATTGTATGATTTCGAGTTTTATGACGTATTTCTAATTTCTAAAAATAATTCATTCTGTAATTAGAAAATACATCAAACTAACTGATGAACAAAGATATTTATATTTCCTTAGGCATATAGGCATAGCTAATATTCGGAATCGTATTAGGAAAAAACCAAATTTTTAAGAAAAATATATTATTTTATTGTAATTCGAAGTATTTATTTTACTGTGTTTACTATCTAAACACAAAAAATAAAATATTTTCTTTAAACTTATTATGTCATTACTATTTTAAGATTAACTGGTCACTACATTGTATTCAAGCCGCGTGTCTAATCATTTATTAATATGTATGTCGTATGTGTTTACTATTTACACAAATATATTATATTATGTAGTTAATATAGGCATGCACCTACTTAATTTACTAAATGTAATAATTCTAAAAAACCTGAGTAAAGATTTTTGAATATGCTTATTAGATCACGGTAATACATTATGATGTAGATATATTTATTAAAAACACATGATAAAGGATGAGAGATAAGTAAATGCATTAATTTCATGCTCTCGAAAAAATGCAAGATTAATGTTTCACTCAATACTCATAACCCACCAAATTATGATATCTATGTATTATTTCGAACGATTTATTAAATGGTTGAATAGTGAACTTAAAAATGTATATAAAAATTAGCATAAATGAATGCTAATTGAAATTATTTATTTAATATAATGTAAAACAATCAATATTTTTAATACCTTTATCTTATCATATTAACTCAAATATTATATGCTTGAAATAAAAAATAAGCATTGAATACAACACAAATACTTAAAACTTACACTGTAAGCAGGATCTGGAGGTGCTAAAACTAATTTTCATTCATCCAATTTAGCAATAAATAGTCTAAACTTGACAAAGTCGTTGTTGGGGATTCAGAATAATAATATTATAATACTCATTTTCCAAAAGACTTCATTAACTTAAGTCTTAAATACTTAAATTTGTTTTACATTGAAAACACATACTTTCTGTACACTTATATGGTTATACTATAATATAATGGATATAAACCATGTGTAATGAAATAATCAATAAACCAGTTACCTATAAATAATTTTGATTAAAATCATTCAACATTTCTGACATTTTCTAATTTAAGTAAAGCTGATCGTATCGTAATATTTGAGTACAACAGGTAGGTGGATCGTAAATGAAATGTTTTAATACATTTTAAAAATAACGTACCTACGTATCTCTAGTAAGACTATATATTATAAGAAATTCTATAATATTCATTAATATCAAAAAAAATATATATATATTATTTACAAAATATTTTCATTCTCTGATAAGACCTGCTGCACTGTGTTGGAGTTCTTGCCGTCAAACATATTTTGACGATTAGTAGACAAATTATTTAAAAATTACCAGTGACACGTAATTCTTTTTAAATATTTATAGCGGTCTTATTGTTTTATTGTATGATTAAAAAATAAATATTTTAAACAACTACTTTTATAAAAACCATATAGCATGCACATTATTGCCAAAGTCTTTCGGAATAACAGAGAAGTTAATTTTATCCCAAAAATAAACCTGATGACTCGCACTGAAATCACATTATTTTGTCACTATTTATTAATTTATGTTAAACCT